ACAAACGCTGATTAGGAAATCGCTTAAAGAAAAATTAAACATTGGCATTAGTTTATTAGTTCAAATTGTCTTGATTTAGCAAAAAATCATAAAAGTCTTTATTTATAGTTAGGAAATGTATTCTTAGCAATTTGTGATTTATTTTTTGACTAAATTTGCGACAAAATTCGTACCGACTAATACTTATTCGGTCTGCCGGGCATGAAACAAATAATACAATTCCTTGAAAAAGAAAAAAAAAAAAAAAAAAAGAGTCGAATCCAAATGACAGAGTTTACAATTTTCTTTAACCTAACTTAACATTTATATATGTATACGCACACTGACATACATAGCCAGGGAAACCATCAGAGACATGGTGACAGACATAGACATTTGCTTAGACGCTCAAATAACATTTTAAAATGCATCACGTTCTTATAATGGTACTTTCTCTTGCCAAACAACAAATTTTGTTGTAATTATTGCAATTGTTGTCGTTCTTACTAATACAGATGCCATTGGTAATAAAGATTATAGTAATGACGATGAAGATGTTGAAGCAGTGTTAGTCATGTTTTTCAGACAGTGGCTGCTTTTCAAGCTTTATGTTCAATTACATAGTTTGTATATATATATATATATATCTATGTAGGTGCGTATCGCACTTAAATAAAAAAAAAAATAAAAAACAACAAAAAAAAAAGTTGTAATGGAGAAAGCTATGTGCGCTTTATACGATAACTAGCGGACCTCCATCGTCTATAAAAATTTAATAAATTTTACCTTCTTGTAACATCTAATGGAGGAATAGTGAAAGAATTCCCAAAATTGCCTTTCATTTGATTTAAATAAAAAAATTTGCACTTATTTTATATTATCAATTAATCATCACCAGAACAGAATTGATGGCCAGCTAGAAGTTTGAAATTTCAAAACAAACGGGCAAAAAATCGTTATGAGAATGATTCCGATTGATTGACTGACATGCCCACAATGGACTGAATAGATTTGTAAAGTTTTGTTTGACAGAATGCGACTTCACATCGCACAGGGCGACTATAAAATCTTACTAATAAAAGTTAGAGAAATCCGTAGACATCGACTTTCCATTCAACCCTACTTAATTTAAGTAAACTCTTTCGTAAGCTATAATGTTACAAGGCTTCGATCTTTCAAATGGGCGTGATGTGAAAGTTATTATAATGCTGAACGATTTGGGTAGAGATTTGAAATGCGATATGAACGAGATTTACTTAGTCGGACTAAGTTAGATTAATATTGCGAGCAGTCTCTCTTGCTCTGTAGTAAATAATTGCTTGCTCTAAGGGTCAAATTAAAAAGTAAGCATAAGACTGAGGATTCGAGTTGCGAAATGTGCTAGCAGTCTCAGCCTCATAATGTGTCGCCTAATTGAAAAGGGTCCAACCGTTATCCATTTGCTGCCGCTACTCCAATTTCCATTCTTAATAGTATAGCTTGGAAATGGAATTCCCACTTTCCATTTCCTATATGGAAACAGTTGTGTAGGAGAAATGCTAATTATAGAGTTAAATTTTGAATTAAAATAAAGCCAGCCCCATATTAATTTATTTATATTGTTCGGATCATGTTTGGTTTACTCTATTGTTTTTGCAAAACTTGTGATCAAGAAATTTCCATAGGCAGACACCCGAACATGTTTAGGCGGATTTGGAATTTAAGGCTGCGCATCATTAGGTAAAGCATATAGAGACTCTGATAGTCTCCTTCCGAATATCTGAAATGAAATCGAGCCATTTTTGAATAAATTGATAACGCGTAGTAACACATACGACAATAATAGGCAAAAAAACAAAGAAACAAAATCGTTATCCAAAATGAACGGAGCAATGTGTATGACAGCAAATTGCGGATTGACGAAGCGCAAGGAAATCGTATGCGTTTTGTGGAATTGCAAGGATCTCAAGTAAAGTTGGCTCTAAATGATGGCTTTTTTGAATTAAATATCTGGGATATCATGGTGGCATTATACCTTTCTCACAGAAATTGTTAAAAACATGCCACGAGACTTTTTATACTCTACGTCACTCGTGGTACAAGCGACTATTAAGTTTGTGAGGATATATGCAACACCGAGAAGGACTTGAGATAGACTCACCTTTTTATTATACAAATCGGTTTAGAAATTTATACTGAGCTTGGCTGACCGTCTGTCCGCCTCGTTTTTTTGTGTTTAACCTACAGGCTGCAGGCAGATACTTAGATAAAATTTGGTATACCGATTAGCACTGACACTCGACCTAAGAGTGAAGGCTATTGAAAATGATTCGGATCGAATCACTTTTTCGATAACTAGCCCTAAAATGTCTGTCTTTGAAAAGTCTTCTATTTAGATAACTGCATTAAGCGGTGTAGAATATTTAATGGGGCGACGTGGTCCACTATAATCTTATTACTTGCTTTCTTGCTCCACATGATATTAGGTATCTTAAAGAGAATATTTGTTGATTTCTCTTATTTATATATCTTGGAATTATAATCGATCGTTGATCGATGCCTATACCCAGTAAATAATTTCTTTGAATAGCTGTGTCAATAAGTCGTTGAGTTGTCACATTTTGAAAACATTTAGCAGAAAAAAAAATTATTTTCTTAGCTCCTGTTTTTTATGTTTATTGGTTTTCACCTTGATTTCCCAACGCATCGAAATCTCAAACTAAGTAAAACAAAGCTAATATTAATTAATTTCACGTTTTGATGAAGAAGATGTACCACGATTTTAACATTTTTTTCCTGACTAAAACTAAGGATTTTTATGAAAATGGCATTAAGCCACTGGGAGAAAGTTATAGTTTGAGATGTCATATTTTATGGTATAAAAACGCAACATACAATATGAAATATATATATATATATATATATATATATATATATTGTATATATTTATATATTAAAAAGATTTTTCTATTACCTAATAGAAAGTAATTAAAATACAAAGAGAAAAGTTCCGCTTCAAAAGAAGATCAGCGTTAGAGTAGCTCATCAACTTATCGTAAATGGTCTTAACTGAGCGACGTATAAATTACTAAAAATAAATATATGGTCATTATCAGTCTGACATACATGCAGACATGCTGCAATGATAAGTGTTCATCTAATCAGAGTGATATTAGCTGCACATGATGAGCAAAGTAAGATATAAATAAGATTTCCAAACTGACCATATATTATAAAATCCAAACAGGGACAAAAGAATACACAAGAAATCGTAAAAACGAGTAAGAAATAAGAAAAAAACTGATATTTGCTTTCAGGCGAAACTTTTATAACCACTACTTCAAGTCAATAAACGAAATCTGTGAAGCGTTTTTATATCCATCGCTGAACAATGATGGGGACATATCTATTTTGTCAAAACGTTTGTAACGCCCATCAGAGAGCTTCACAGATCCTGCAAAGTTTATATATATTCTCGATAAGCATCAAGTTCTGAACTGATACATTGATGTTCGTCCGTCCGATTGTTTGTCTATGTAATGTTTGTGGCGAGCACTTTGATTTTAAATTTTAAATTAAAAACATTTAAAGTTCTTGCCAGCATGTAGGTATTGGGATAATAAGCCAAATCGGTCGAAAGACACATCTTTGGAAAGGAATAAAGAATTGATCTTTTGCTTATTGCTCATAAACGAAAGTAGTGCATGTACCTCTACAAAAATGGGAAAAACAGCCATGTCTACCCAATTTTTTAATGTGTTACAATTTCATTCGTTTTTAAGATATTTACATAACACGCAGAAGAGAGCTTTAAAACCCCCATCAGGTATATATAAAAGCTTGACCAGTTCGGAATTCGGAATACATATAAGCATGTGCGCCTGCTCGTCTATCCATCAGTCCGTTTACCCAAACACTAAACTTTGTCGATAACATGTCCAAGATTGTTTAGGCCACTGAAGGGAATGCTGTGACAATTAGGAATTAGGAACGCCGTCCGCTTTATTGTCTACTGTAGGGGTGGATGTTAATAAGTGAGTTATGATCATTTTACAAATCGATGTAAAAGTGCATAGGCCAAACTTGTGATCACGAATTCCCAAAAAAAAGTCGTCAATTTAACAAGTAAGAAAATTATACTCGGTCGTGACCGAATTTCTTATACCCGTCACCGCTTTCTTAAAAACGATAAAAAAAAGTGAAAAAACTTGTGGCTGAATCTTCACTTTCCCTAACTAAAGAATGCTTTACCACAAATGCTACAGAATTGCGTAGACAGACATCGGGTTTTTGAAGCTTCCTTCTGGGCCTTTCAACAGGATAGAAAAAAAAAAATTTAATTTTCATACATCAAAATTTTAAGTACACATGGCCGTTTTTTTTCCAATTTGTTTGTAGGAAGACCAGAGCGTTCTCTTTGAATTTTGCGCGCACATTTTTGTACATTTATCTGCTATAGTTTATGAGCAAAAAAGAAACTTTTTATTCTTTTTGAAAAACAGAGGTACTCTCAGTCTACATGATGTTGTGCGCGTGTCCTTCAACCGATTTGGCTCATTTTCAATAACAGCCTCCACGCAAAAACTTCCAATTCTGTTTCTGTCAAATTTGAAGTCGATAGCTTCACTTTTGCGGTCAGGAGAATGTTTACAATAGACTTTACTCAGACGGACAAACGGACAGATGGACATGCTTAAATCGATTAACAATTTGATACTGATCAAGAATATATATAGTATGTGGGGGGTCTCTAATGCTTTCTTGTGGGCGTTGCAAATGTTTTGAGAAAATGAATTTGATTCGGTTCATCGTTCGGTGACGTGTATAAAAGAACATATATGGAGGCCATCATAAACTTCTGAAAGTGGATGTATCTTACGTAGGCTTTCGAAAATGGAAATGGATTATTTTGAGAACTTTATTAGTTGTAATGTTCCGAAATTTTATTGAGTCCGAATTTGTGTGAATTTTAACATTTTGATGATGAATGTATTTGTGTGTGCAATAAAATAATTTTTATTTTACAACTTTTCTCTTTAAAGATGACTTTTGGCGAAGAAATGGAAATTGGTAAAGGTAGTGATGATATGTCAGATCATGAGAATGAAGTTGATCAGGTGGCTCTAGAATCAGAGCAGGAAAATCAACCGCCCCAGAAAATGTTGTATCAGCACAACTTATCGCAGCCGCCACAAGGCCCAGGGCCCGCTAGAAGTGAGTAAATTGAACATATATTTAAAATGAAACTAATATTTTGTCTTCTAAACATAGTCCTATATTTTACAGGCAACAATAAGGGCATTCCATTAGCATTAGGTCAGCCTTTCGGCCCGCCACCACCGCCCTCTCAGTTAAGTTATCAAGGACCTCCACCACCGTTGCCGCCACAACGTCCATCTACGTCACATGTACCGCAATCTTTGGCTGATTTAAGTATCGCTGCCTCTAGTACTAATGAAATTTGGGCCTCGCCGATTCAAGATATGGCTAAAATTATATCCTTGGACGTTAAGTGTGAAAAGAATGGCATGAAGGTTTTTGTGCAATTCGATAAACCCTTCTATGGCATTGTATTTTCCAAAGGCCATTACAGCAATATTAATTGTGTGCATTTGCCTTCGGGCTTGGGTCGTACGTCAGCTACTTTTGACATTGGATTACATGAATGTGGCACGTCTGGAAATACTGAAAATGGATTGTACGGCTACGGTCATGATTCGGGTTCTGGCACTTACTTTGAAAATATTATTGTTATCCAGTACGATCCACAGGTTCAAGAAGTGTGGGACCAAGCCAGAAAACTGCGGTGCACTTGGCACGATCAATACGAGAAGAGTGTTACATTTCGGCCCTTTCCAGTTGATATGCTGGATGTTGTACGCGCTGATTTCGCAGGTGATAATGTGGGCTGTTGGATGCAAATTCAAGTTGGAAAGGGACCGTGGGCTTCTGAAGTATCCGGTTTAGTAAAGATTGGTCAAACTATGACAATGGTATTGGCTATAAAGGACGATGATTCTAAGTTTGATATGTTAGTGCGCAACTGTGTGGCTCATGACGGCAAACGAGCCCCTATTCAACTTGTCGATCAACGAGGTTGTGTTACGCGACCAAAATTAATGTCACGTTTTACTAAAATCAAAAATTTCGGAGCATCAGCTTCAGTGTTATCTTATGCCCACTTTCAGGCATTTAAATTTCCCGATTCAATGGAAGTTCATTTCCAATGCACAATACAGATATGCCGCTATCAATGCCCGGATCAATGTTCTGATCCAAATTTACAAGAAGTTCATCATCTGCACGTCGGCCCAGAATCACAATACGGGCCACCGCCACCTCAATTACATGTCGATGCTTATCACGTGAGCGCTTCAGCTACTAAACGCCGCGATGAACGCCGTGCCCAGCGTCGTGCACGTGCATTGCATCCCGAACAAGAAGTGGGACTTAATCGCATTATTAAGGTCGTTTCATCTGGCGATTTGACATTCGCTATCGATGAAAATGTCAACAATACTGTTGCCGCTGCAGCTCAGACTATAGTTTTTCCAGCTCGAGATGATGGTCTTATATGTATGACCACTCCTGGATTTGCAATAACGTTAATTGTATTATTGGGCATACTAATGACCTCTTGCCTCATTTCAGCTGTCTTGTATGTGCGCCTACGACCATTTTCTACTGTTTCCGAAAAAGAACGTACAATCGCATTTACGAATCCGCAAATTAGTAGGGCGCTACCAGTAATATCAATTACATCTCCCCCGGGGCATAATACTCTATCGAAAACACAGACGCACTCATGAATCTTGAATTAAATTTTAAGTCCCAAATCACAGCAACAAGGCTTATGAAACAAAATAAACTTGTCAATAGAACTACCACGCAAGGTGTTTCGCGAAATTATGCAAATTTCTTCCTTTTTTTTTTTTTTTTTTTTTTTTTTTTTGCTATCCTTCTCTCCCTCATGTTATACAAAATTAGTTTAAGACTTGACTTTCGTCTTTAAGCATAACTTTATCTATAATACTTTTTCTCTAGTTCTTCATTATCTAGCTAACATTGAAGAAGAGGTTCTTTTATAGTGGGTTTTTTTTTTCGCTAGGTGACAGTTTTCTTTGCTCTATTTTCAATTTAATTTTATTGTTATCTCTTTATACTCATCACCGGAGGATAGAGTTAAACTAATCTTATGTTTCCGTTAACATTATATTCAGAAAGCAGCATCAGAAGTCCTGTCAAGTATGAATTTATTCAGTTTTGCTCGGCCAATCGGTCATCCTGTCTTTTCTAAAAGTTCCTGAGATGGAAACCTGAAATTTGATAACGAGCATGTTTCACCCTAAATATGTTCGTGGAAAAATAAATGCAAGCTCCACTACATAGTTCTTATAATATGGAATTTTTATGAAATGTCAATCCGATAGTCAGCATCAATGCTTATCAAAAGTGTTCAAATGGTGTCAACACACACATAGATCGCATAGAAATCGATACTTAACTTGTAAATAGCTACTGAAGACGGTGGGTCCTCAAGAGATTTCCTCAAAACGCATATAGTTTTTTGCTTGTTATTTCACCTGTCCTTCGCCAAGCGTACATACAATTCTGTAAGAGAGAATAAAACTTATACCCACACACATATATATATATATATATATATAACACACATAAGCAAGCACACACATCTAATTACCAACCCATCATGCAGAGTATGCACCGATCCATCGATTATGAGTAAATGCTTTATCTTTAACTTGACATTGTTACAAAAAGTTGACCATAGGCGTGTTTTTTTTTTATCTTTTAATATTGCAAACTTCAGGCAAGGCCTTTGCGCGTGGCCGGTGGATATAGAAAATTCGGCTAAATATCGAATATGACTTCCTCCGGCTAGTTCTTTAATAGAAAAATGTACTTCTTATTTTTCATTTAGTATTACGTTACTCCTTTCTTTAAAAGAAAAAGAAAAAAAAAAAAAGAAAAAAAAAGAACAAAAAACACTATTTTTCTTTGTACTTATTATATGAGTAATATTCAGTGCTAAAGCCATATTTAAAGTTCAAATTTCTTTTTTTTTATTTTTAGTTGTTTTCTTATTTCTTGCTCACTTTTAATATTCACCACCTAACAATGAATGGAGTGGTAGAGGGAGAGGGAGAGGGAGAGGGAGAAGGAGAGGGAGGGGAGGGAGAGGGGTTACAATACATCGTCTGTTTATAAGATCTATTAATATGTATCGGAGACACGCACCATAAACTTTATGAATTCTTGATGAGCATGATTTTCTCAGTCGTATATACCTATATAGCTACGTCCAACCATCCGTCTGCTTATTGTTATTCGTATTATTGCAAAATAGAAAGATGTGTTAGGTCGTTCTCCACTATCTTTATACAGATGCAAAAACAAGGAAAACCTACAACACTTTCAGAATAATTTTATTATTTTACGACCAACGCGACCTACGCGACCTAGGAAAAAGATATTGACAATAAAATGCCCAAACAAAATTACATTAATTGGCACGCACACACGCATAATTATAATGTGAAAACTTGAACAAATATATTTAAATATTTACTATAGGTGGCGGGTATTCAACTATTCGCCCTAAGGCGAATATAACCCCTTTGACTTGTTATAGTCTTGAATTTTATATATTTTTAAGAGACATCATCGCATTCTCGTGTTTAAAAAATAGATGCTTTCCGATTTGTAGTCATTAAATATATTAAGCAAACATTTAATAAGTTTAAGTTTTCCTATTTATTTACTTAGTATCTATTCATTTATTTATTTATTTATTTATTCATTTATTTATTTATTTATTTATTTATTGATTTATTTATTGATTTATTTATTTATTTATTGAAATACACAATTCTTCTATACATACAAACAAAACATTGTTAAATTATTCTAATCTCTTTATAAAAAGAATCTTATGTGTTCGCATTTTTCCTTTTGCGTTTATATTTTATTTATGTATTCATTTAATTTATTCTATTTCGTAAGCAAATTTAATTAATGGCCCTTTCTATATGAACAAAGTGAAAGAACTTGTAGCTTTTATTTTATTTTATTTATTTATTTATTTATTGCATTTTGTTTTTAACAAAATAAAGAACGAAGGTAAAGTGTTTTTATCCTCACTTCTCAATAATACTTTGTATAGAGTTTGATGGTAAATTTTAATCTTCTCTCATACACATAGTCTTCTTTCAATGTTCTAAGCAATTATTATTATTATTAATAAAATTTTTAGATGAATATAATATACACACGCATAATTCCCTTTACTTCTTCATATTATTTCAATTGATAGTCAGGTTATCTCAGGTTATCTTAAAGAACGAGTGAAAAACAAAAAAAAAAAAAAAAAATTAAAAAAAACAATGAGAAAACAAAAGGAAAGGATTTTCTTCATTTTAAATAACGATTTTAAAATCGGCCCATTTTTAACGCAGCAAACAAGTGATTATGTGCAATAATCCAAAATGTACTTATTATTTATCTTCTTGTTTCAAAATCCTTCTAGAGAATAACTATTTAAATTACTCGCTGCTTTATGTATTCTGCTTGTCGCTCAATATGCTCACGTACTTGTGGAAAGCAACTGTATATGCCCTTTGCAAAGGTGTGATCAATTGTCGACTGCTGTTAAAGCATTAAAACGTCAAGTCTTTTTTTTTTTTTTTTCTCTATTTTGCACCCTACACCACTTGTTGTACAAAGATATATTAAGTTTGCTGCGGACGTACGTAGCATACAGAAGGGCTTAAGATAGATCCACCTTTTATTATATGGATCGAGTCAGAATTATTTTTTGAAGTCTGCCTGTCCGTCTGTCCATCTGTCCGGCCGATTTTGCTGCGTTCGACCAATAGGTAGAAGTTTTTGAGATTTCATGAAATTTAGTACATTGGACCCAACGACGAACGTTATTGAAAATGCCATTCCATCCCCGTCGCCGTCATCATTGTAACTCTCTTCGCCGAATAATCATAATCAGCGAAATCAAGCTTAAATTAACAAGTAAATTATGCGAAGACAATATTAGCGATCGCAATCGAGATTGAGCGCGCAATCGCTAAACGTAAATGTATGTGAAATCACAAAAGTCATTTCAGTTTGAAAAATGTTAACTGTAAAAATAAAAAAAAGCAAAAGAAAATTCTTGAATAAAAATTGATCAATCGATCATACGTGATAAGATATTCAATAAAAAAAATTCAATTAATTAAGGAAACCAAATTTGCTATAAGCGCAGTCATATCAAAGGGTATAAAAAATTGATAAAAGGGGCAAAATTAATAGTGGGCGTTTAATAAGAGCTTTGACTATGTTACCAAACAACCAAGTGATATCTATGGGTGCAAAAAATTTGCCTTTTTTTGGGTGCGATAACAAGTGCGACGTGATCTATAATCAAGGGAAGCATGGGCAGGGGCTTAAATAATCGAATTACAACAGATATAATTAAGGAAAGGCCTGTGTCATCCGCTAATTTCCTTGCCTGCTCGCTTCTAGCAATGGAGAAACGGACTCATCTAAAATGCACTGTAGATACAAACTTAGCAAATTGAAATTAAAACTCAATTAAAGTGAGATCTGCATTAGCGATTGCCTTAAGTTATAAGAAATTACATTTGAATACTTATGGTAAAAAAAGGTCCATAATAGGAAGAATCGATAAATAAATGACCAGGAAAAAGAAAGTCTGCATATACTAGCAACTGTTTTTAAGGCTTCATATTAGGTATGTAAATAAGTAAGGTACCTACCAAAGCACGTGGCCAAAACCAAAAAGATTTCTGGACAATCAGATAGAACAAATCTTCAGATAACCAAATGGAAAATTTCATAGTTCTCCATAAGGTCGTACAAGTATAAGTATAAGTGATAATAAGAGAATTTAAGGCCAGTTAAAGCCAATTTAAAGCCATTTACTTTTTTATTGCGTAACATGAACTCACCAGTAGATACCAGGCTTACGTAAGGAATCGAAGGCGCGGAGGCAAACACCGAAGGAAAAACTTATGGCCAGTGACTTGGAATGCGCGTAATTTTTATCGACCATCAAAAATGGATATATCGACCACACGGTTGAATTAGAATATCAACAGCTAAAAATGTTGGCAAGGCCGATCGTTATACACTCTACACCACTTCGCTTAATTAATAATACACCAAGAATTATATATTATTTTTATATAAATGCCAAACTTTGCTGAAAGCTCTAATATCATATCTAATACTCAAACGTCAAAGTTGTCTAAATTTAGCAAACTTAATTAACTTTTCAAAGATTTTGAATCTTCCGTCATAACAAATCATAAATTAGGCCCTGTCAATAAAGAAGGATTTGCTTTCATGAAAACGCCTATATAGGGTGCGGTCTAAAGACTAGACCTATGTGGTCCAAATGCTTTATGATTGATTTACTAAGGATAAATTTTGATCGTAAAACCTTGAAAATTAGACGCTTTTGCTATGTAAAGACTTCGTTTTAATAGCGTCGAGTTCAAAAGATAGGTCTATGTGGTGCAAATTTGCTAAAGTTAATTTTTTTGTCAAATTGTTATCATGAACGCATTCTTATCAGAAACTAATAAAAAATAGATCTTTTTACTATATAAGGAACCGGTTTCCGTAGAAACTGTGTTATGGCAAGGGATTTAAACAATTGCCCTATCCGATTCAAAGTTTCAGCAATTTTTGTCGCCAAATTCTAAAAATTACAATATTTTTATTTACAATAATTTAACAAAATAACGCCTTTGATAGCGGTCCCTCCTCGGGCGAAAATATGTCAGTGTATTAAAATATCTCGAAAACTGTGACCTGTATGTTGAACATAAAAATACATGGGCAGCTATCAGACGGACAGACAATCGTTCGGTCTATTCAGAAAAAGACTCTGAAGCGACCGATATAATAAAAGGTGGGTGTATCTCAAGTTGTTTGGCGCACAAACTTAATGTACACTGTACCGCAATTAGAGTACGAAATGAATAAGAGATGGAGCGCATTGAGAGAAGAAAAACTCTCCACGCATCACGAGAACCTGTCAGCTTATTCATTAAATGACGCATGAGGGACGTTTACCCATTCCAATGAGAAACTTACTAACAATGCTAAGTGCAATAACAATAACAGCGTAAATGCACAAATAAGAGAAAAACCCAATATGGTTAGGAATTGATTTAGCGCTCACGATATCGGGTCCAAATCGTATCAAGTTTTTTATGCGTTGCGTGCATGTTTAACGATTTATTCGTGATATCATCTGCGTGTGATTAACAATATAAATGTGTATCGATGCTAAGAAGAAGAAGTAGCATAGTAAAGAATCAGCTAATAAACAGAAAAAACCAAACACGCAACCTTTGGTTATAATAAGACAGAAAGTAGGACAGACGGACGGACAAACGTGCCTAGCTGGGATCTGTAAAGTTTACTAGTGTACGTTGCAAATATTTTGATTAAATGAAGATATCCTCATACTTCGGTGGTGGATATGAAAAAATAACAAAAATATTGGAGTCATGGCTTTGCGATGATTATATGGCTTTGACTTTGTCCTGACCCTGGCCCTCATGTGGTTTGCATATTTGCTTACAATTGCAATTACAATAGGCAGAGAATAGATCTTCAACTGCTGTCTCAACGAACGCCTGGTAATGTCTTTCTAGTGGCAGATGTACGGTTACTAATGCGTATTGTAAAGTAGTGGTCAGAGAGCTACTTTTCGTAGCGTAGGTATTATGTAAGAGTCCTTCGAGCCACACTTTGTAGTATCTAAATAAAAAGTACTAAGCAGCACTATTTTGATTCAAATGCTTTCTCTCTCTGAGGGCTACACAACAATGTTTAGTGCTGACATGAATTTGCCTAAATTCAAGTTGAAGTTGTGGAAGTATACAATGTGCATCAATATGAGGAGTCAAAATAATTGGGGCTTTCCGGCAAGTAGCATTGCAGATGTACAGATAGTCTCTATGTTTAACGTTTGCGCCTGCTTTGTTTGTATTGGGTATTTTTTGAGTGCGTTGAAGGCTTTTTAGAGTACATTGTGGCAACTCGCGAATCGTTTTCGCGATATTTTTTGATATATTTTTTCATAAATAACTTTGTTAGTTGTGACAGACTTCGGATGCTTGCCAGATAAGAGTCTCTTATTGGTAGGATTGGTCATAATATGATTCCCTATGCTTTTCTCACATATTAGGAGACTATTATAAAACATCATGCATCACGATGGGTTGAATAATGTCGCATTGGGGAATAGTTAGTCTACATCAGTGTAGATTACAGATTAGTTTGTCATTGTAATAGCTCACAGCTGGCGTGACCGCTTTTAAGCAAACTAAATAGTTTGGAAACACCTGACATTTTTCAGAGTGGTTTCGTACCCATTGTCTATTGTGACTTTTTTGCTTGTCGCAAACTATTCAAGCGGAGGGCTTTTACATTCAAATCTTCAAGAAGTGATGGTAGATCTCTTTCTTTTTGGTCGCTAAGCATTGTTCTCAAACTTCAAGTGGAGCAAGTGACAAATATTTTCTCAATAGTGATGGTATAAATCTGTGCCATTGTTTTCTGAAGGCGCGCTTTCCCTCGTCGATTAAAGTTTGCGTATTGATCATGTATCATCAATAAATTGCAAGATTATCCGAGTACGTAAAAGCCGTGAAAAATAAATCAGTATTCGGAAGTTCAAATCTCAGTGCGGTAGAGTTTACCTTGGTCTTACCTGTAGTGAGTGTTCAGTCGGTAAAGGCATAACATTTATCGATTGCGCACATAGAGCCATTATGATGGGGCTACCTCCCTACATCTCCTTCCCTTTTTTCACTTCTCTGCCTTGCGGCTGACGCCGTTTTACGCGAATAGTGTACATCCCCTGAGTGATTTATCATTAAAAAAAAAAAAAGAAACTTCAAAACTCCGTTTTGTCGTTTGAACTGCTTTTTGCAATGTACGTGTGTGTGTTTAAAAATGTCTATATGTGAACTTATGTAATTGCCTTATGTTATGTTATATTTTTATGCATTCCTACGTATATATATATAAGGACTGACAAAAAGATCTAATAATGAATATCCGAATACGAAGAATTCCAAATTCGCTCTCTTCAAAACCTGTTTATGCACAGGCAATACAAAATTGGCTTTTTCAAAGTATAAAAGAAATTCTGAAAGATTAGAGTGAACAAACAAAAAAAAAAAAAAAAAAAAAATTAAAAAAAACTTATGAATTTTCTTTATTTTATAAGTTTATTATAATTGTGATAGCAATAAGTAGAGTTGATTTTTGTTATAGTAACTGCACCATAGAAAGCACCAATCGGTTAAACAATAATAATAAAATGAACTAATTAATTGTTGTCGTAAATTAAAGTTAAAAAATTAATTAGAAATAATTCCAGAAAAAAAAAGAACTAATAATTCGCTATTGCAGTTATGCCCGAAATTGTTTTTACATTAATTAATTTATTTGTTGTAATAAATAAATATATAAGCATTCTTCATCTTTGTTCTGGATTTTTCTTTGATCAGTCAGTCATTTTGTTTATTTTTGTTTTTTGTTTCTTGTTTTCGGTTTTCTCTCTTTCATTGTTTGTGTACATATATGTGCATTATGTAGTAGAACAAGTTTACTAATCATTAATTCATAACATTAGACTATTATTCATAGGCGAATAATATGCTTATTCGTTAGACGATTAGATTATAAAATCGCGGGTGGCCTTTATTGAATGGATTCATGATTTATGCCCGCTGTGACTAACGTGTCTTGTGCGGCTGTCGTGGGAATCGAAGTTTGAGCGCTTTGCTGTTGCTGTTGTCGCATACGAAATAAACGTAAAGTCATCCAAGAGGCAAATGTACCAGGAGCAGGCATAGGTGTTTGCTTTTCGAAAGCCTCCTTTTGTAGTTGATAGCGATAGAGTAACGAGCCGGCTATAAGTGCGGATACAATAGTTGCTGAGATTACCACAATAAACAGTATACTAAATCCAGGGACTGGCATGCAAATGCCGTAAACCACTTCTTCTGTGATTTTGCCCTGAAATACCGTTACTGCTTCCTGTTTTGAATCAGGGGAGAAAGCTAAATCTGCTTCCGAGATTACATCGTACAAGCCACTAACACCTACATCAGCACTTCGCGCTTTCCGATCGGAAATTACAATAGAGCGACGTTTGCGCAGAGAGTTCGATTCGTTCGTTTTGCTCGAAGCATTCAAATTAGATTTGATTTCTTTGGATTGATTTGGCGTTTGAGCTATTGTCTCAGTTCGCCTGTAAACAGGTCTGGGTATCTCATCATTATTATTCGATTTAAGAGATCTAGGACCAGCCATTGGAACACCCATACGTTTTTGGGCGTGCAACTGACGAGGGCCATGCGGAAATTTGCCACTTTTACGTAATTCCATATATTGCGCTTCATCTAAATCGGCCAATTCTTCATCTCCGAAAATTGAATCCAAATCTGCATCTTCAGGATCTTCGTGTACCGGTCTAGGAGGTAAATTGGCATTCTTTTCATGTACTGGATTATTAAATTGATCTAATATATTAGCAATGCCACTGTTAATGTGTGACAATTGCTTTCGATTGTGTATAATGTCGTCATAGAAAACATCGTGCTCGGTGAGGCCAACATTTGGGCCGTCACCTATATCGTTAGAAACACCAGATACACCTTTTTGATTAGCAGCAGCATGAACCATTTCGGACATTAAGTCACTCTGAAGCGGCATTTGATCATTTATTAAGACATCTCTACGTTCATTGGCGCCACCATTCAGTTGACAATGATCCAAACACCCATGACGACAAATTTCAACTTTGCACTTGATATGAACACTTAAAGCATCGGGAAATTTGAAAGCATGGAAGAAAGCATATGTAATAACTGTAGCTCTTTCGTCGGGTGCACGTGCTTTAAGAAATCGTGAAATCATCTTGGGCCGTAGAACGCAACCAAATTCATCCGATAAATTAATGACGTGACCGGAACCATCAGAAGCCATGCACGATTTAACACGCATATCAAATTCACCTGCAAATGAAAACGAGCGGAGAATTTAAACCAATTACTAGCATTTTCGAATTACACCGCAGCTTTGTTCTTTTTTTTTTGTTAATCTAAGTAGAATTAAAAAATGACCTTAAAATGGTTTAATTGTCTGCTGTGTTCAACTCGAACTTTTCAGAAGTTTTCTTTACATTAAAAGTTTAATATTTTCTCAAGCGTTTTAGATCAAGTAGACGCAAGTTACTTACCGCGATAATCATTAATTGCTACCACCAGCGTTAGTGTAGATCCTAATGGTACAATACCACTAACCGGCGGTGCCCAAGGGCCTTTGCCGTGTTGTATTTCCATCCAGCAATCGACGTTGTCACCTGTGAATTGGAAAGTTATATATTCGGAGCTATTCATTTTACCGACTAACTCTTACCTCTAAAATCTAATTGTATTACATCTAGGTCAGCAATTACCATTGGAGGCTTTGATGCCGTCTTTTCATAATCGTTGAACCACTCGCAACGCAAACGTTTCGCTTCATCCCAGACTTCTAACAAATCTTTGTCATATTGCACAACAACCTAAAATAGGATTAAAAATTTAAGAATGTTTCACTCTCTTTGTGGCGCAACTTCGGAACGATTCATTCGATTCATGAATAAAAAAATGTTGATTTTGATTTTCAGTTTAGTTTTGTATCTATGTGCGAAACCTACTTTAATTTCTAGACTGCGTTGCAGTTCACTTCTATGGTAGCTTGAAATTTCTGACTTAACGAAATACTCCAAGACACTTCATACGCTCCCCAGACAAATGATATATACATTCACGAGCTGAAGCATTGCCAATTAAAGCACGTAAAAAGTACTCAATGTTGCCGAATTGAGGATTGAATGTACGATTGAAATTACGATTGATGATCGGCGAAATACTCAAATAGACACGGCCATACGAGCAAAGCCTTGACTTTGTGGACGTAACAAATGCTACCATACTTTGAAGATGAGAAAGTATGATAACTGCGCATGCGTCAAGATAAAAGTCACTCACGAATATTTTCACGCTATACTATCGAATGGATTTAATACTTAAGTCCACCAAAAATAGATGGTTAAGGACTTCAACGACTCCACAGGAATATATCAGTATTTTACGACAAATTAAGAACAAGATATATCTTAAACTATACGCGTGCCATTGTTTTCTCTCTGTTCAGAATAATGGATAGAAAATTGCAGAGAGAGATTTTCGTAAAACTTTAATAGGAATTAAATAAGAGTAAGTTTTACAACGTTAGAGCATAACTTTAGACCGGCAAAGTTTGGGTTATACCGTGGTTGCATTAAAATTCCATAGTGGTCTTCTGTAAATTTGTGTTGAATCATTAAAAGTATGTGTGTGTGTTGGCGTTTTTCGCTATGCGAACTGGAGGTAAAATTTTCTAAACTATGGTGCTGGTTTGCGCCAACACCATGCACGATTCGCCATCCCTTGCGCCTACGTGCTAAAACTATCCTACACACGCACTTCGCCGACTACTTCCCTTCGGGGACGACAGTTAGGAATTACTCCGTGGAGTTTATTCGCAATTAGCACGCTTTCTATGGTGGAACCTCAGTGTAATACATTATAGGCTTCCACTCTCTCTGCTGTCCAACCGCTGTCTTTCCAAGCGCCGTAATACTTGGAGCACTCTGCTTACATACTCGTCTATAGTGCTGTAGGCTTCATTGATGCCAGTCATCACCTGCAATATCTTGCTGGCTTCTACCACTCTCAAATCTTTTGCAGGGAAATATAGCGTGATCTGAACCCTCGTTTCTTTCCGAACATTCCGGCAAGTCTGGCGAGCTGTCGTGCCCGATCCTGTACTGGTACTTCCGCAAGCATCCATGACCAGTCAGGAACCTGGTGGGATGATAATGGACATCGCGTTATATTTGGGGTAAGCGCTAACATCCATGTTGCTTTCGTTGTTCCTTCCCATCGCTACTGCTAGATCCTCATTTTTACTAGCCCCTCGTATTTTTTCATGGCTTGTTGGGGGTGGTCGTCGATGCGACGCCGCTCGTGGATGCGCCTCATTTCATTCACCAAAATATCAATAGGCGTGGCGCCTGCAATCACACTGTTCAGAATCAATGATATTGCCATCAACTTTTCGTACATGGCTTTCACGGTGACTGTCCTCGCCCAAAGTGAGCTGACATACATCAAAACTGATGGGTCCGCGTGGTGGTTGCTGGAATAATCCTCGTCAAAGACAACTGGATGGCAGCGGCTTTTCACGTGGTGCTTTAGTCCCAATTCTTGTAGCCAAGCAATCATTCCCACGTGTGTAACGTACTTTGCGACTGCTACAACTGCTATATTGTCCACAAAGCCGATATTCCTTGCACCGACAGGCAGATGTAGCTCCAGAACGCCGTTGTACATTATGTTCCACAGGAGAGGAACAAAGACTGGTCCCTATGGGACGACCGCGGTTATTTTATGCCAACGTATATTTCGAAAGGTAACCTGTTATTATGTCAAGTATATACCTTGAAACCTTATGAGGACCTTACGATTGGTATTTCATTCCGCCGAGTTAAAGGCGTTTTTCACGTCCAATGTAACGGCAACGCAGTACTCTATATCGCCACCCCTCCATCGATCCGCGACTATAGTGCCCGAGGCAAGCGCCACTACATGTTCTATGCCGTTTGCATTAGACCTGAATCCACATTGGTTTTCTGAGAGAGCGCGTCTTTCCTTGGTCACGAGTAGCAGGCATTCGTATATGATCCTCTCCAATACTTTGTCTATTGGGTCCAACAGGTAGATGGGTTAATTAGACGGTGACTCTTTCGGTAGTTTATTACCCTTTCGAACGAGAACCAACTTTTGCACCTTCCATTTATCTGGGAAGATCTTCTTTTCTAAACACTTTGATATCTGTCCTCGCTTGTATCGCTACCTCTAAGGACCTGTTTGGGAACCCATCCGAGCCAGGGGATTTTCTGTCTTCGATCTTTTCGCAGACACTCAGTAACTCTCACGTAGTAATTGCTGGTACAGCTTCATTTTCCCTGCTGTAGAAGTCTACCACAACGTAAGGCGGTCTCTGCGGGAAAAGTGGTATTAATATCTACCGGGCCATGAGCGGACACGTGAATTGTGGCGTTCTTTGTTCTTTCACTTTCTTCAGGACGACTTTAGATAGTGTTCCCCATGGATCGATGTCGGCTTCCTGGTATATACAATCAAAGCTTCTTTTTTTGCTGCTTTTTATAGCTTCTTTCAGATCACTGCGCAGGTTTTTGTAGAAGGTCAACAGCTCGTTAAAATTTGCTCTTCTTCTGGAGCGCTGCACTTTTCGTCTGAGCTTTAAAACGCTTCCTCTCAAGGCCGCTTTTTGGTCGGTCTACCAGTAGCACAGGAATCCTCTTCTGCCTGTACTTCTTCTAGGCATAGCTGCGTCGCATGCTTCTGTCACGTTATGCAGAAGTTTGCCATAACAGTATTAAAGACGTCACGCCTTCAGCAGACTGCGTCCTCTTGCATTGTAGGCCCTGCTACCCCACTAGAGGGCCCATATTACCCCGCAGACATCTGAATTTCGTTTCTTTTTAGAAACTCAGTCCAGTACGTTTTCCATTGTTCCAAATATCGAACTTCTTTTTGTATCCAGCCTTACGCATATGGTTCACAGGGAATTTTGGCCAATTTCCAGTTCTTCTCCATTTTTTAAAGAATTTTATAGATGTTATTAACTATAGGTTAGCCAAGGTGTGACGCATTTTCAACATCGAAATTTCCTGATGCTAATTTTAATGAAACATCTTTATCCATAAATACAATGCACTCTCACAAGTCTGCGAAGCATTATCATTTTGGTCTTTGGATGCATTGCACAAATCATAAGTTATTTGTAATTTAAACAATAATAAATCAAATGGAGATTAAAGTACATTTCAAAATTTAATAAAAAAAGAAAAAATTATTTACTTTTTAACTATGAAATGATATTATTTTCCAAGTTATTTTGAGACGTTGTCAAACTACGTCTTTGAATGCTAAGTATACTTGATCCTGAAATTTGACATAAGCAACGTCCAGATGATCATTGATAACTTACTTATAGGTTACCAAAAAATGTCAGTTGACGCAGTTTCGCATCTTATATGCTATTATAGATTGCTTTTTTCTTTTGATCCGTCAAATGTAATTTTTAATGACATTATATTTCCAGGTAGTCGACGCAATTGCTTCTAAGGATACTATAGTCAATTAAAACGAGTTTTTATTTATTTTTAACAGAGATCTGTTGAAGTAACATTGTATATATATATACATATACATATATATAGCGATTGCTTCGTCTTTTTCAGTTTCCAACAGAATTCTTTTCAAGTAGTTGCTAGTACGTGGAAAATCTCCTATGCTTAATCGCACGGTTTTGTAGACAACTAAAATCATTATAAAATTGAAACTATGTAACACTGTACTGAAAACGGATTGGATTGAACCATTTTATCGACCACTCTTCATAAGGCACTTTATGATAAAAAAGTCAGTTAGTGAAATATATTACAATTTTTCAAATCTCAAAGTAAAAATTTGAATCAGATAAGGCGATGTTTTGAACCCAACCTTATATAACAACAGTTCGTATGACATGTGAGTCTTTATCTGGGAAAACAGTCGAATTTTTTAAATTTCTCTGTGACAATTGGTCCGTAATAGTAATTGGACATAGAAATTAAGTGTACCGAATTTGCACTGCATGGGTCTACTTTTTAGACCTCTATCTAGGCCCTTATATGGTATAAAAGTCTAATATTTAATACTTTATGATGCAAAAAATTGTAAAGAATAATAAGATCTTTGACAAAAGAAATTAAATTCTCCAAATACCTGCACGATAGATCAGTTGCCATGAATAGTATGAATTTACATGGATGCATAGTACGATCCGCTATGCAAATGCATAAAACAATATATTAGGCGTAGTAGTGTAAAGTATTGAATAGTTAATCTTGTCTAACTGTAATGTTTTTTTTTTTTTTCTTTACTTGCTTTTCTATAGAAACTTACCGTATTTTCATAGAACTGACCGTTCAAATCTGGTTTCGTACCACATCTTGAATATGAAATGCGAAATGAGAAAAACGTTTTTCCCGTTGAAGGCGGCACGTAAACGCAACGAGGATCACTGTGTTGCCCTTTATAAGAAAAAAAACCAAAAAAAAAAGCATAGATGCGTTTTATTATATGCTTGAAGTGTAAGTGACATTCAATCAATGAAAAAAGTGAAATTCACTAACCTTTTGAACTCACAATACCCTCGAAAGGATGAGAAAATGTTAAATGTACATCCATGTGATCTTTACCGCACATCACTTCCAATGAGATTATGTTTGGCATACCTTCTGGCCTCTCCAGTGGCCACAATTCATTACCAGCTAAGACTAAACTAAACTGTGAAAATATATGAAAAGAAAAAATAATATTATAAAAATAATATATAAAAGTATAAAGTTAGCCCCTACTGAGAGCACATATGCATGTTTTTTAGCTTTACCTTAAGAACAAGCTAGCATATGCAACGCTATGTATTACCATATGGTAAATAAAATGTTCAAATTCTTACATAGATAAATCTTCACACATTTATGTTAATGATTCGTATACAGTCACCAGGCCCATTAGGAACATACCCTACACCACTTGTGGTGCAGTGTATATTAAGTTTGTGCGGCCATAAGTATCGCCGAAACGTGCTTAAGATATACATATCTTATCATGCAGATGGATTCAGAATCGATCGAAGCTTGCTTGTCCCTCCGTGCAACATGTCCGTCTAATGTCTGTCCATGTATTTTTGTGTTTAGCTTATCGGTCGCCATTTTTAAATTTGATACACTGACCTGTTTTGGCCCAATCACAAACGGTATTGAAAATGGTTCGAATCGTATCGTTTTTTCGACCACTCCCTACATAAAAACTTATTCTGATACGGATTTGGATGAAAAAATATTCTAATTTTTAAAATTTCACGACGAAAGTCGCTGGCACCTTGGATCGAATCCGAATCGAAATTTTTTGAAACTCTTGTCACAAAATCGTTCCAACTTCGTGTTGAACATGCGTTCATAATAATAATTTGCACGGCGTAGGTCAATTTTTTGAATGCCAAACCATTTAAGGGTTTTAAAGAAAAATAAGGCTTTGCATGCCATAAGGCTTTGCATGGCTAGTAAATTAACCCTAGGGAATATGGATGACGTAGCTCTATTTTTTAGAAGGCACCGCATATGAGGAGATCTCATGAGAGCAGGCCTTTCCATTGCGGCAAAGTGTAACTTGTGGTTCGTTATGACGGAAGAGTAACCGGAAAATAATAAAATCTTTGGTAAGGAAATTAAGCTTGCTAAATTTGGAGTCCGTTAGTTGACGTTTTGCTTATCCTTTAATATGAGGGCTTTTATGAAAATTATGCATTTTTGATATCATGCATTACGAGAATGAGTGAATGACTGTATTAAACAAAGAGGAGTAGGGCGTCTACTGCTCTTAGTTGTTTTGAAATGTAATTTTAATACCAAATTTTGTATCAATATTTTTTAATTCTTTTTTAAGGGAAGACACTTTTGTGTGCACTTTTCAACAATTTGTTGAGACTTTCTTATGTTATATGTTATGAAAAAGTGGTATATCTTTGACTTTAATATTGAACGCGAATGAAAATTGTTCGGATCGCATCAATTTTTCGAAAATCTCCTGTATAGGGCGATATGGGGTATTTAATTGTCGACCGTGACCGACTATATGATATTTTTTTACTTGTTTATTTGCTTTTTTTTTTAAGCATAATCATTATATGGTGAGCTGGGCTTGGCGCAACACGCAATAATGAAAGATTTCTTTCATTTTAACCTCATAGATCCTTTCACGCATCCGGTCAGATGAATGCTACGTCAATGAACATGCAACATATCCAACTTCTGATTACATGAAAACTTTTTCTTAGCGGCTTGTAATGCTTTCTCATGGTTTTTTACATCGTTTTAAAGTCTTTGTGTCTCTTTTCTTCTTGCTTTACCTCTAGTAAGTATATGAAAAAATTAATTCAAAATAAGCTATAATGTGGAATGCAGTCGTAGTAAATGGTAAGAACATCGTGTCAATATATCGTAGGTTGAATGAAAAAATACATGAAAGACAGACAGCCAGCCAGCTTAAATCCATTCACAGTAGATAATTTGTCAAGGATCAATCCAATACAAAGTTAATTCATTTTAAATTTACATACATCTAAACAAGTTTAATGTAACTTGTGTCGTATTGAAAAGACATACATACATATAGGAGAATTTTCATTGCGATGTGCTCATATAAATTGTTTAATTTTGCACATATTGTACTAAAGATAAGGTTCGTGATGTTATCAAAAAATATACGATTTTCAAAACAAAATATCCATACGAAGTGCATATATATATATATATATATATATATATATATTCAAGTTAGACATATATATAGATAAATATACGGATATATAACTATTTAAAGATATATGCATATATCAACAGTGTAATAACATAGTTTCTTTGAAAATTGTTCGTTTTAATACTAGATGATAACATACAACACCAACTAACTAACTAACTAACTAACTAACTAACTAACTAATTGACTAACTAACTAACTAGCTAACTAACGTTTCATAGTTTGTTAGAACAGATAGCATCGATCGTCATACTATTGCTTAATTCTTGCTACTTCAGCTGATCATCGGACTGTGAATGGTGCCAGTTTGTCTGAAAGTAAAGCGAATGCAATGCATGTAAAATTAATATTTCGCGTTTTTCAGCGTACACTTTCACATCAGCGTTTCAAATTCTTCTACTTTCTCTCTTTCACTGCATGCATATGTATGCGTATTAGTTTCATTCTTTCTCTTTCGCTCTTTATTTTTTCCGTTTTCTTGAAAAATGCTTAAGCAAACGCATAATACACTCCTTAACATATGTACGGTTATATCTTTATATACACACACACACATTTATAAAGATGCAAAGAATTGGATCAGATTTTATGTTAATTCATTTTACCCGGTTTTAAGCTGTCTTTTCATATCACAATTTTCTATAAGAGATGATGAGCCTAGCAAGAAAAGGCGGTTAATAGGTAAACATTACAGTAGCGATAGTGACATCGAATAGAATACTTTTGCTTCCTGAAATGTTATCATATTCATATATATATATATATATTTCGCAGATGCAAATGGGTAAATGCTTAACATGTGAATTCCTAAAATATATATATATATTAGATTTTATTTCCAATATATTTTCATTATTTTCCTCTCTTGATTTCTCAAATTTTATCATTCTATTTTCTTTTATAAGCAGGTAAACGACGTCTTTGTCATACCCGCGAAAAAATTTCTCTTGAAGCAGCAAAACGTCTTAAATGAGCCATACTCATGCTTGATTAAATACATATAAATAAGAACATATAATAAGCCATATAAAATATCATGTGCATGTTTGCGTGAAATATACTTTCATTATATTATATTAGAGTTTTATTTATGGTTCAATATGTAAAAATTGCAAAAAAGAAAAGAAAAGAAGAACAAGAGAGAAACAACAATGAGATGCACTAAGGTGGGCAAAGTCTGAAATAAATTGTAATAATTCTATCGTATGCACTCAGCACGCAATTGACGACATTAATATTAATAGACAAACAAGACTAATTTAGCACTTTTCTTTAAATATCCCACATTACTTGTGATACAGGGTATATTAAGTTTGCTCGGCCGTACATAACACACAAACAGGCTTAAATTAGACGCGCTCTTTGTTATACCGATCGTTTCAGAATAATTGTCGTAGTGAAAACTTGTTCATAATAGTAAATAGGTAATGAAATCAATCTATAAATCTATTTTCTGAATTCCACCGCATATAACGATTCCCAAGAAATGTTAACGCTTATATGCCAAACAGACCTAATCAAGTAGACTAAATTTGAACCACATGGGACACGACTTCATATAGAATTTCTCATGAATTTCAATGTTTTTTGATGAAAACTGGACTATTGTAGCAATTTAGTAAAAAAATTGCTGATAGGGAATTTGGATTAGATCGGTCTATTTTTTAGACCCTAACATATATAGAGGTTATCCTGAAAGACAAGCTATTGTGTGAAAGAAAAAAACTGCAATTTCCAGTTTTTTATGACATAATCTGAAAAATAGTCAAATTCTCAAAATTTTTAGAAGGTAGTAAAGTGTGCCAAATTTGGATCACGCTATATGAGGTTTGGGCAACCTTTGAATAAGCGAACTGTCGTCAAGTGTACATTTTTGCATGAAAATAATATGAAAATCGTACCAAAGAATGTGGCGTAGGGTGTAGATCTAACGATCGGCTTTGCCCGACTATAATGTCTTTGCTTGTTTTGCGCAAAGTTGAAAGTGATAACTATTTAAGCCAGGCTATAATTTTTCAAATTTTTCCTCTTAGTAGATCAAAATCTTTGTGACTTAATTTAGTAGATAAAGTTTCAAAGCCTTACGGTTGTCAATTGCACAAGAAGGTAGGCATATATGGTTAACTAAATTTCGTTAATTAAATTTACATTCTTTTTGTTAAAGAAAACTGTTCTACGAAGTTAGGATCTATGAGTAATACAAAGACATTACCTCTAACTTTGGGAATAGTTTGAGTAATTGATTGATTCATTTAAAGTTTAAAATAAATAGACTTATACTCTTGTGAAATTTTCAAACCCGCAGTCTTTATGGTATGTTAATAAATATGTAGAATTCATGGAGCATCTAAATTTCCCATCTTTGAACAATGCATAGGCGTTGCAAAGTCTTTTACTGCAGTAGTAGTAGTAGTAGTAGTAGTACTAGTAGTAATACTACTTTGTATATTTCGTTTCACTTCATAAATCTTAAGCTCAAGCAATGATAAGATATAAGTATTAATGAATTTCTTTTTACATTTAAATTTTGAAAATAACAATATTTAATATCCTAGAATCATATCTGAAAGTTTTCGTCTAACAGCCTAAAACTTTATTTCATTATAAAGCGCGAAAAGCCTTGAAAACCCGATATATTAAACAAAATGTATTCTTTGTATCGCTTAGAAATCTCCTTAAAAGAGTTCGTAAATTATTTAATGTAAAGGGTTAAATGAAAGAAATCGTCTCTTCGTCTGTCTATACGTCCTATGAAAAATTTAGCATTTAACAGGTATTTCCTTACGCGATTTACACGCAAAGCAATTTTTGAAATCGATTGAGTAACCACATTAGGCTGACATAATTGCTGGCGATTTTGATTTATGCATTATGCAAACAAACAATATCCTGAAGGTATTCGACTTAATTACGTGGGCATAATTGCGATGAGTTGTCGGTTTCGTGGCGCGATTTTTACACATTATTACATTATTCATAGGCAAACCGTAAGTTATGTAACAAGATCTACGGTTAACGCGACAATTGTCTTAGATGTCGGCTGAAGCTATAAGTAAATTATACGCGGCAAAGGAAAACGGTAGAGTAAATAAAAAAAGCAGAACACTTACCATTAATTGTAAAATAAATATAAAACTAAATCTAAGGCCCCACACTTGTGTAGGACCTTTTTGTGGGCTCCACATCCTGGAGCTATATCCCGCAGTAATTAATCTGAAAAATAAAAGAGAAAACAAAGCAGATAATAAAAAAGGGAACCGAAAATTGAGTAATATAATAAAAAAATTTGCGGTTGGCATCTTCTGTTTTCAGACGGTACTAAAACGGACGTTTGGTGCGCAGCGTATGCAGTAGTAGATCGAGAGAGCGAGACCATGTCCAAGTTAATCATGCCGTGCATTAAAGTGCTTCAATAGCTCGAAAAACAGAACTTAAACGGTTACCGTCAAAGATACTATGCCGATCATAAAAGCTAACCGAAAGCCGTCCAGCTAGAACTCTGTTAGCAAAATGAGAAATACCACCGCCACTTACGGAGCTAAGACGAAAACTTCTTAAATATAGTTAATATTGTTAAGATCGCCTTGATTTTTCGGCACAATATTACTCCCAATCGGAAAAATATTGCATCGGTCATAGGACACACACTAACAATACAATAGAAACTGACAACGTCTCCGTTTCTAGAAGCAAAAAAAAGCCCAAATGAGTTTTGCGCCCAACAAATATAACGGTAATAACGTCCGCGTATATTTTATAAGAGAATATCGAAATTTCATTCTTTTTTTTTTCCAAATTTTTTTGCAAGACAAGGAGCATAGCCCACGTCAGTTTCTTGCTTGACTAATGATTAGAATAAAATCTGTTTGATAAGATGACTGTTGGTTAAATTCTAACTTTCAGGAAAATTGAGAAATTTTTCTTTGAATCGATTCGTTTGCACTTTCGAAAGTTCAATGATAAGCGTTCAGGGATGGGAATCGACCCCAAGCAAACGAAATACGATAACTAGTTAGAATTTTGCGCAGATATACGCCTGCGCGAATGGTGCCTGAAAAACGTTTACAAATAAATTAGATGTGATTGAGATGTGAACGAAAAATGAATATTTTATTACATCGTAACTGAGGATTCCAGAGTAGCAAGCACAATGGCAGAAATGTTAACATTATATAAAAATGCTTCTTTCCTTCGCAGCAAAAGTCTACATCCAGAGGTTGCATTCTGCCAGCCTTTCTAAAATATTAGTCTGTTATTATTTATATGGCATATATATATATATATATATATATATATATGTAAACGTATATTTATGTCTATATATACATGTTCATATTTATATATGTACAGACTTTCTGGTATTAATTATTTTATAATTCGTAACAATGTGTTGAAAATGAACCGTTCATTTCTACCATAATTTTCAATTAAATACCGTTTAAATGTAGCATAAGTATGTAGTGCATGGCGAGCACAAAACTACTTACTATCTTGTCATTGGAAAAATAAAATGGAATGAGCGTTGATGTCATACGACTATTTAAATGGTAAAGACTGATTTATCCGATATGGTGGTCAAGTGTTGTTTTAGAAACACATTTTTATATACGCACCCAAAAAGGGAGCACTTTGGCATCGTAACGTACTCAACATTTAAAAGAAGAACGTATTCGAAGATAGATTCTCAAATAAGTAAATGATTGCGGCAATAACTTTGCTGCTTGTACAATAGCTTAGAGAGTTACGTCTTAAAAATTCTAGTTATCTGCTTATGATAAGCAACCATTTTTCAATTATTATGAAAAGCATAAAATGCGCAAGAAGGCCTTTTAGCATAACATACGCAAAGAGCAGTCACAAGCACAGATAGCTCTAAGAAACAGATATCGAACAATAGTGCCTATCCTAAGCATTGTCTAATTTGTTGTTTGATAGAGTCAGCTTCACGCTTAGTTGAAAAATGTTTCTGACCGGCTTACTAATACATCCGTAATTAACGATAAGATCTAGTCTAGCGTGCGTTAGAATAAGTGGAAAATAAAGTTTGAAATATATTCGAATTAAAATTGCATCGTTAATCGTGGACGTACAAAAACATGCAGGTGACCTTGACGAATATTTCGGTACGAATTTTTCAAAACTAAATATTAACGGGATCGAAAGTTTGTAGGCGAGAATTTGAAAAAGTTTTCCATGTTTTTCGAGGTTTAGTTTTTTCCACATGATGAGCTTCTATGTGGACAGATCACGCCCACTTTTTAACCTTTCAGCTACTTATCTTCATGTTTGTGAACCGTCAACTTGACGAGTTTCGATAAAAGTACGCATACCAAAAAAAAAAAAAAAAAAAATTAAAATGTCTACTAAGGTTACATCATGAAATAAGTCACGATTGGCTCTATAAGTAGAATTAATTGATAGTCGGTGCTTGATATATAAACATGAACCTCAACCGTAAGACATTTCTGTTCGTTTAACATGAATCAGAGAAGAAAGCATATATAGAGATGTAACAATAAATAGAACGGGAATGCTTTATAGGAGTGTTTCACTTCAAAATTATCGCCAGACAGATGGATGTATACATAATACAAAATATACGGATGTATATATACACGCAAACACAAGCACTTGTCATTTAACGTACAATTGTTACAATTAAGTGATTGTTAGAAAATTTGGTGATCGAATTAATTCTTTTTTTCTTTCAAGTCTTGTCTGCCACAGCACGTGTACGTGTAGAAGGATTAGATTTATTAAATACAACTTTCACGCAGCAATGAACATCGTAGACTATATAAATCAAGATAAATTTCGTGACAGACGTGTACGTCTGTCAGTTAGTTTGTTTCTGTAAATCAAGGGATTGCATACACTGTCTTCAAACTATCGCTAATAGAGCCGTAGATAAGGCGCCCAAAACAAATAGATGGGCCAAACGATGTATTCTACAAAAATGCATGAGTATCTATCCTTTGCATTTTCTGGTTGTCCACAAATCGCTGCAAAAAAAAAAGTGTATCAAATACTTATCGTCATCCTTAAGGGTCTATCTTTATGAGTAATTGTCCAATATTGCCAGTGCCAAATATATATTGTTTCAATCATTCGCATTATGTGAGCATAAAGCTTTTACCATACGTCTTAGAAGTTATGGGGAATAAATTTCAAATTGCTTACATAGGCAAATTTTGACCTGATATACCCACACTCTGTGAAACATAGAGAAACACGGATATCTTGTAATCCAAGTACAGCACTCAGGATACCGAATTTACCTATCTACGCATAAACACATGTACTGTGAGTAAATATGTGTTGCTTTTCGAATTTGTTTGTATAAGTCCATGCGCGGACAAGGTTACTTCTTTAGACGACTTCTTTAACCGATCCAACACCATATCTTCCGTACATTGCAGTAATCGTGAATGTAAAATTGTGGTTGCTGGCGAATTCAAATTTTGACTCCTGTAATTGTAGAGAAAGGTAACACGACAACTGTGGCACTTGCAAACTGTCTAACGCAGTTTATAAGCGAATCAAAGCACATCCCAAGCGTTGGTAGATTACACCAAACACTGTTGATCGTTCTTTTACACTGCATTTAAAAAAATACTAAGTGAAGATTGGGGCACCATTTGGCAACTCGCACTACTGCATCGTTTTTGCATCCTTCTTATATACTAACTTTCCTCATGTTTCTTCCTGAGCGTGAAATACTAATGAAAACGTGAAGTTTTCAGAAAAACTCAAATCAAAGTCAGAAACGAAGTCGTGATGTCTTAGCCAAAACGACTAAACTAATCTGCATTGTAAACAATCTAGATATAGATGCAACGACGTGCTCTGTCGCGAAAAAGCTCTGCAGTGTCGGCGCCTACGTGGTAAAGGCCTTGGCGCATCAAGCAACAGCAAGAGAGTCGTAAGGATTTATTCTTCCTCCCCCTTTCTTTCGGGGTTGTTTTCATTAACGACCGCCTGTGCATGACATATGACAGCATCTTTTGCTAAGGGGGTCCGTTTAGTTAATGACAATGCAGCACTAAGCTAAAAAATAAACGTTGGATGATGGGTGAGACACTCGACGGATATTTCGCGAAAATATGTGAATGAGGTCGGGCAAATAGGGTAAACTCTAACGATACCAAAAAGCAATGCTTTCTCTTAACCGGCACATGAAGTAAACGATCAGCAGCTCTCAACTTTCGGGATTGAGTAGGAGGAGTGTTTGAAGTGTCGAAAGACGTCGCGGTATAAAAAATACTTCACTGCAAGCGATATTAATGCCATTTACACGGCCATTATTCGGCCAAAATTAGAGTAAAATTCGCAAGCGCTTTTCGCGAAAGATCTAAATATCCCTGAGCATCGACTTAGTGTGGGCTGCGTTGCGCTTACAAATAGACATACCCATGCAAGTGTTCTACAAAGCATTGTAAACCAATCAAGTCCTTTAAGAGGATTACACGGTTTTCTCAGGACTCTCACCCAAGCTATGGAGGCGGCCGTATACCGCACGGCACTCTACCGCTACTTGTCATGTCTTAAATGCATTGCTTTAACAGCACTACTGACTGTTCGCCCATCAAGCCGGATCGGCAGATGGTCCCTACAAATTCAAGAATACAATTTGAAGGTTAAGTAGACACCTATGAGAACCAATTGTCTTGCGAATATGTTGTCGGACATCTTTATGTATTACGAATGCTACTGCTGCCATTACTAAGGACATAGACGGCGTATATATTACCGATAGAAGTCATTCTTCTTTACAGTTTGATAGGTCTGTAGGGTAACGCATAACTGTACAATGCATACGAGGGGATTGCACTTTGTCACTGCCTGGTACGGACCACACATAAATACATTGTGAGTAGCTAGCAATGTGTACACCTTGTAGGTACTGCAAAGGACACTCATACACATGTACAAAAAAATACCTTTAGAAACATGACAATGGTCTCAACCACCTACACATGCATGTGTACGCATAATATTACACTATATTGTTATTGTATTAACACATGTAGATTTTGTTTGTTTTCTTTCGTAAGTATTAATAAAGAAATTTTGTCTAAGAAAATCGAATATATATCACATTGTTACACCTCCTTGATAAAGAATAATATGATGATAAAGAATCATAAAATTATTGGATACTTTCACGCTTCAACTCGAACTGAACGGTGAA